AACTTCCTGTGTTCATATGGAAGCTATCTAGTTTGCTATAGGTCTAAGACTTGACCTCCCTTTTATTTTGCTATCAGTTGCTTAATTCTTTAGATTCTTTGTGGGAGACTTTTGATCAAAAGGAACATTTTATTCTTTTTATCCTTTCATTTTTTCATAAAAGCTACAAGAAATGTGTAATTAATAACTTTGTACTTTATGCTAGTGATATAAGCAAGCATAGTATAAAACATCTTCTTATTAATGATTAGACCATGATGACTTCTTTTTTTATGTTTAACTTTGATTTCAAGTACTTGAAAGTTTTATTATCTGAAAAAAAAGGAACAAGTCATCTGGTATTATATATTATGAAAATCAGTACTGCTCCTTACTACTCATACTCAACAAGATTCCAGGGTGGGGTCAGATTACACAATGTAACCTTCCTAATTTTTGCAGTGTTGTTGAGGATGAATATGTGCATATATATGTATTTATATATATTTATATGTATGCAGGTTCATGCATGAGAAGACGTTTAGAAAGCTATTCAAAGTGAGGATCCTTTATAATCATTTCACTTGATTTTTTAAACATGTTTTTCTCTTTGAAGTTAAGGAGAAAGAATATAATTAAACCATACTTGTGTTTCTCTCACGCTGATGCTGAATGGTGAAGGAAGTCAATCACTGAGTGAAGAACATTCATGTGTGTGCGTGTGTGTGTGCGCATGTGTGTGTGTGTGTGTGCGGTGTGTGGTGGTTTAGGACATCAATAGTTGTTAGTGGTTTTATATTTCATCATGTTTAAAAGAAATTGGACAATGATGAAATTAAAACATGGTTACCATGGTCATTATAGTCACAGCCAGAGAAAACAGAAAAAATTAATTAAATTCTTTCATTGTACAGATAAAAGGTTCAGAAAAGAGGAGGGGTTTATCTTAAACCTATCAGTGCTGTCAATCACATTGAAAACTGGATATGTGACTTCCTATCCTCCCTTCTCTTGTTTTCATTCTTTGGTTTGTTTGAGGCCAAGCTAGTACAAAGAACATATACTTTACATTACTTACTTTAAACATTCAATGGAAACCAATCTGAATTTTTATTGCACTGAATGTGAATTTAGTTTCTTTCACATTTCTCTAAAAATTGATTTGTCTGGTCAGGCAATTTGATTATTGATTGCAGGCAGGGATAGTTGGACTACGAACCATAAGCGCAGAAGTGCATATATTTGTGTACATATGTGTGGGCATGTAGATATGTTTGCATGTATGTATTTAAATGTGTATGCAGATATATGAAATAGAACTACATCATGACTTGTGCATTCACATTGCCCAGATAAACGAAAGACTTAAGTTTCCTGTTTCTGAGAAAGAGCCACCTTGAGAAAAAGATTCAGTCTTGCTGTATTTTTAAAGCCCAGAAAGGAAAGATTCTGTCTCACATCTGCCTGGGATTTTATCAGATATTTTTACCAGTCCAAGGTGCTATAATGTAGATGTATTTTAGGTGTGACACGCACAATCATGTGTACATTATTTAGGAAGGGAATCTATTTTTTTTCCTGTGTCGTTTGCTTTACAAATATACAGATCAGCTCTCAAAATGTCTTCCATGTTCTCCAAGCATCTTCTAAGACAATTAGCTTCCTGATAGTTGACAAATAGAATCAATACCTGTAAAAAGCACTCTAAAGCCACCCACATGCCCTATGAAGTCAATGCTGGGTATGATTTAACAAGTATGTGATGTATTTTTTCAAGGGAAAATGTTTCCTAGAAAAGTTCTTGGCACACAGTGAAACACCGTGCAATCTGTTATTTGTCTTAGAGATGATAGCTGGTGGCTATGGTCTTGTGCTCTCTAACTTATGACTTGAGGGGGGAGTTTCTTCCACTCAGAAGTATTGCAAATGTGCTTATATTTACATAATATGTCACTCTGAAAAATTACGATGATATAATTCCAGCAAAAATATTTTTTCTATAGCTACTTCAAAGTGTACTTAAATAAATTAACCAGATTTTTTTTAAAGCAGCGACCAAAAAGAACATGCCCCTACCCCCCACAGCACAATATAAAACCCAAATGACCTCTCTGATTCTTCTTTGAAGTTTTAGCAGTTCAACTTTCTTTGCGATGTATATTATTAAGGACTCTGTTGAGGAAAAGGCATCCGTGAGTCATATGCTTTCTGATGGTCTGCTCCTGGGTGGAAAAAGGAAGTAAAATTTGGGAAGATAATAATTTAATTAAATTCTACTTTTTTTTCCTTAGAAACTGACAATGATGCTGGTGGAGTCATTTTTAACCTTTGACCCACTACATTTTTCATGATAATGATAAATCAGCAGAGATCTAAAATGTTTCTTCTGAAGAATGACTATTTTTTAATATGAATATATTTAGATCAATTCACTTTTAAGTATTTTAGCTTAGTTCCCTTGTCATTTTTCCAATCACTTTGACATTAATATATGGGCATAAACCATTCACTTTTCGTTTTGATAGATGGGTAAGCTTAATGAATCAGATTGTGATTTCTACAGACATTCTGCTTTTCATACAGAATTTTTTCTGCAGATTTGGGCAACCTCATTCATGTAATTTCAGTTAGTCATTATTAAAATGTAGGTTAGTTGAGTAGAAAAGGTGACAGGAAATTTTAGGGTTTTAAGAACTTGACCAAAGAAGGACTAAATTGTAAAAGATATCGATGAGATGATGTATAATGTAGAAGAAACTTCAGAATTCCAGAAGGAGAGCCAAGAGGTGTCTCCAAACTAATATCTGTTTTACATGCAGGAACACCTGATGTTATGAACTCGAGCACCCTGTCTTCTAGGTCAAGTTTCAATATAAGTGCATGAATATGAGCACACATATAAAAGTATACATACTTATGATATGCTTGTGAATTTATAAATATACGTAAAAGCTCCCCTTTCCCCTAACCCCCCCTTCTCTTTATAGTCTGGCCCAGAACTCCTGGGCTCAGCTGATCCTCTTTCACTACCCTGAATTGTTGCGACTGCAAGTGCATGCCATCATGTCTGACTTGGAACAGTTTTGTTTTTTGGTTTTTTTTTTTTTTTTTGTTTTTCATTTATAGTTTAAACAATGATTGATTTCTTAGGTTCTTCTTTTTTTTTTTTTTCCTTCAAGTTTTTCTCTTGGATAGTTACCACTACAATTTCCTTGTATTCTTTCACATGTCCTCCCAAGGTTACTAGAGTCTCATCTGGCAGACAAATGTAGGTATCTTAAAAAGTTGTCAATAAAAGGAACATTGACGTTCAAACATTGAATAAAAACATAGTTAGCCTGTGTCTTGAGGCTTTCCTGGACCCACAAGGAAAGGTACACATTCCTCCTCGTTCCCACAGGCCAATGTTGCCGCCTGACTAACATTTTGTCTTGAACCTTCACTCTTTTATCCAATTTTAGTTGCTCCATGAGGGAGATTATATGGAACTATGATAAAATGATATTATTTTTAAATAAGGAGAACACTGTAGTGCTTAAGTGAAATATCACCATATCAAGAATCGCTTACACCTCTAACACATTATCTTGTTCAGTGATTCATATCACGACAGTTTGTTTGACTAGGGGTATTCAGAAACAAAGATCCACCTATGCCTTTCTGGCTAGTGCGGTCCTGCAGCTCACTGAAGAGTTGCAGAGGACACCAGCTATGTTATGCTATTAATTTAGATTTTTGAATAGTTGTGGTGTAACTTCCTCTACTAAACTGGACCTCACAGCAGAACCTGCTGAAAGTAAAGAAAACTTCTTTAAGAAGTAGGTAGAATTTACATAGAGACATTTTTTGAGTAGTGGCTTAGGCAACATTTGAAGTTTTTTTTAAAATTTATTTATTTATTTATTTATTTATTTATTTATTTATTTATTTATTTATTTATCTATTTATTTATTTTATCTAGAGCTTAGAGAACAAAGGCCATAGAGCCCCATTGTCAACTTAATATGATCTTTAGTTTGTAGACTATTTATTTTTCAGTATTATTATAGTTCTGGTCTATACATCCCTGTATAGGGATTTATCATTTGGGTCTAAATTTCACTTTAGTCACTGTGTTATTAAGGCCTACGGCACAGTTAGTAGAGCTGGCATGAAAAGAAACCCACCAAAAATTGCTAAGATCTTATCATTCCAGCCTTAGGATGACAGTGACCTGCATCAACTTCCACACTGTTCTCTAGGTGAGAAACCACAGGCTTAACTTATTTCCACATCCTGCTGCGGAATCCCAGTGAAGTCCGACTTGTCACTGTGGTGAATGCTGAGCCATACTTCCCACCTCCAGTATGGTACCTATATGTTTTAAATAAATTTTTGGTGGTGCAGAGCAGAAATGTTCATTTTCCTCTTTTTTTGGTAGTAAGTGGACAGTTTTCTCTCAGTTCATAACACGGCTGTCTGTATTTTTGACATGAATCTTTTTTTGAAATTATTACCATATCAGTGTAACAATATTAAAATATCATGAAAGTATGATTTTCATGGAAGTAAGTATTCAGTATGTGTTTTGTAAAGTTAAACATGTACATGTATGTTCTATAAGCATAGTAAATTCACCTATCTGTGTATCTATGTATCTATCTATCTAATCTATAACCTGTTTAAATATGTGTTATTCTCTTTGCCCATATTGAAAATAAATAAAATAAAGCAAAAATAGGAAGGGTAAGAATGATTAATGTTAGGGATATGAGTCTTTTAATATTCAGAGCACACTTTAAAAGATTAGGTCAGCCAGGCTCTGTGTTCAACAGTTCCAAATATCAATGATTTGCTTTTGTCTGTTTGCCTCTTTTTTATTTGTCTTTTCCCGTTTGAAGCTATTTTTACTCCTTTTAGAGGAACTATTTTATTGTGCACCTTAAAAAACCTTGACTTGACTAAATAAAATATTCCAGATTAGATTACCTGTGCATAATCTTCAAATAACCATGTACCTACTTTTGCCTGTGTGTTCACAGATATGGTCCGGAAAAAGAACCCCCCTCTGAGAAACGTTGCTAGTGAAGGCGAGGGTCAAACCCTGGAGCCAATAGCTACAGAAAGCAAGGTATCTGGAAAGAACAAAGAATTTTCTGCAGATCAGATGTCAGAAAATACAGATCAGAGTGATGCTGCAGAACTGAACACGAAAGAGGAACACAGCGTGCATGGCCAAGAGCCATCTTCCAGCAGTAAGAAGGACTTGCAAATCTCAGGCCTGAGTGAGAAGGCTGGCTTCAATTATGAAAGCCCCAGTAAGGGAGGAAACCTTGCCTCCTTCCCACATGATGAGGTAACAGACAGAAATATGTTGGCTTTCTCATCTCCAGCTGCTGGGGGAGTCTGCGAGCCCTTGAAGTCTCCTCAAAGAGCAGAGGCAGATGACCCTCAAGATATGGCCTACACCCCATCAGGGGATTCATTAGAGACAAAGGAAGAACATAAAATGTCACCAAAGGCTACTGAGGAAACAGGGCCAGTGCAGAGTGGTCAAGCCAATTGTCAAGGTTTGAGTCCAGTTTCCGTGGCCTCAAAAAACCCACAAGTGCCTTCAGATGGGGGTGTCAGACTGAGTAAACCCAAAACTGACTTACTGGTGAATGACAACCCAGACCCGGCACCTCTGTCTCCAGAGCTTCAGGATTTTAAATGCAATATCTGTGGATACGGTTACTATGGCAATGACCCCACAGATCTGATTAAGCACTTCAGAAAGTATCACTTAGGACTGCATAATCGCACCAGGCAGGATGCTGAGCTGGACAGCAAAATCCTGGCCCTTCATAACATGGTGCAGTTCAGCCATTCCAAAGACTTCCAGAAGGTCAACCGCTCTGTGCTTTCTGGCGTGCTGCAGGATATCAGCTCTTCACGGCCTGCTTTACTAAACGGGACCTATGACGTACAGGTTTGTGTTTTCTCTTGTGATTTCTAGGAGGAGAAAAAAAGTAACTAGTGATGAAATGTGATTCATGTATCATATTCAGAGCGAGAGCCCAAGAACAGATATATAATTTTTAGATCCTATAGAAAAGATGTGTATATTGCATTTCTGCTTCATTCAAATGTGTATTCATAGTAGACTTTAACTTCTCATTGTGGAAAAAACATATATAATTTTCATTTGACTTGGAAATGTCTTTTCATGGAATTAACTAAGAATCATATTTCTTGATCTACTTCATGGTAGTTAGATATATCAGCCTTCTAATGATGGTAGAGATCTCTGATTGCTCATCATGATATCTCATTGCCTGTTCTACTTCACACTATGAGGCTTCTCCTCTAATCTTTCTCCTGGGACAGTCTTTTGAATATCTTAAATTAGCATTTGATTTTATAGTTAATCTAAGTAGAGTTGGGTCATATTGACAGTGACAGAGACATTGACTTGAAATATCAAGATAATTACAAATGAAAATTGAAAACAACATTTTACATTGACTAAAAACCTCAATGAGACTTGAAGTAATAGGATGCAGAGAATAATTTTGATGTAAGCCAATAAAGCATTCCACTCTCCAGCCCCACACACTACTGTTTTTATCTGTTTTTGTTTTTTTTTTTGCCCTCAGTTGAAAGCATAAATAATATGAAAAACCCTAAAGTATAATAATTTCAATTAGAAAGAAACACGGAAGTGTATATAAAGAAATTCAGTATTTAGTTTTAAGTTTGGTGATTTTAGTACAATTCAAGCTGATGTCCAGTCAAACAAAGAGCATTAGGATCTGTTACATTATATAAATTGTTATTGTATTACCAGACCAGGGAGATCACAAAGTATGTGGTGATTAATATTAACCTTATGTATGAATTATTAGAAGTACCATAAAACTCATGAGGAGTTCCCATGGCACTTCTTGACTACCTTAAGCCCCTTGGTAGTCATTTTCATCAGCTTCCTAGCCACAGCACCTCATTTCTACACCTTTCTACTAACCAGCATCAATTAAGAAAGATATAGAGAATGGTTACAGCGGACAAGTGTAAGCTATTTTGCAATATTTGTAGGAACGATCAGGATAAAAATTTTCAGTTCTTTCAGTATGGAATGACCATCACCATTTGAAAGGAGATATGAAGAAAACTTAAAAAGCCAGTTTCATCTTTAAATTTTCCAGCTTCTCAGTAAATTTCTACAAATAGAATGATTTCCATGGAGCAGCGAATTAAGGCAACATAGTTATTATGCATGAAAGCTGCATGCTTTGAACTCCTGTCTTATTAAAGATCATTTCACTGTCTTGTGTCAGATACACTCTGCTGTCAAACTCTGATTTGGAAAGCAAATACGTGCTTTAGATAAAAGGGTTGGAAGTGCATAATGTCAGTATGTGAAACGGTGTTTTATAATTAGCAAGTAATATGATGTTAATACCTGGATTTCCGGCAGTTTCAGCTTGTTCACTCTGGGGACGACTTCTGAGGGAAGCTGATCCCGGCTGTCAGGAAGGCTCTAAAAAGATTACTAAGGCCGAGGGTTTGGAAGAATTCAGATTTTAAACACACTTCCATTTCCCCCAAATAGTTATTTGTTAAGTTCTTGTTATTTATAGTAAAGTTTATGTTTGGGTGGAACACTTTTCCTGGGCAGTGATTTTAGAAATGAAACAGATGTGTGAGCTATCTGAGTTTGGAAGTAAAGCAGCTGATCATAGATTTTGCTATGTACTAAATCTCTACAGCACATACATTAAAGAAGAAAAGTGATAGGAAACCACAGCCTGGAGGGTGATCTTGTTAGTGTTTATTCTCATCTTTAGTTGAAGAGAACTAACCCTGCGATTAGCTGACTAAAACCAGTCCGAGAGGAAAGGAGGTGTTTCTCTCAAGGAAGTGGATGGATATAGGTGCCAAATCTAGAGAAAATTTTTATTTTCATGAAGAGAACACTCAATACACTATGGATCAATGCTGATTTTGAACATATGCTGCATACTTCCCTGATACTGATGCAGAAACATGTCCCAAGATAAGTAACCTTTTAGTTTCCATGCTGAACCACAAACCAAACAAACTCTACATATATTCAACAATAAAGACATGTTTGAAATCTCTTTTTCCCCTCAAATATTTATGCTGCAGAAATTCTGTTTGACTAGTTCTTTCTTTGGGCACTTGAACTGTTTTGACAAAAAACTGCCTGAGGTAAAATACTGACTACAAAATTTCCTTAATGAAGAGTTTTACAAGAAATATGTATATCAATCCATCCATCTGTCCATCCGTCCATCCATCCATCCATCCATCCATCCATCCATACATACATACATACATACATACATACATACGTATAATGGTGGTTATAAGTTAATGGCTTGTATATACTCTAATGAAATATTTCTCTAGATACCAGTATTGTGAACAATTTCAGGGATCATTTACTGAACTACACAAATTTAAGTCAATGGCAGAAATGGAAGAACCATTCATTAATCTTATAATTAATCTTTTTCTGAACATTTGGAGCAGTTGGCAGTTAATGCTAGATTTATGACACTTTAGACCAAAAAAACAAACAAAAAAGGAACAGGGGAAAGAACTGAGAGGACTTTGTGGCTTTGATCTATAGTTTGGTTTGACATGAATAGTTTATATAAATGGAACCAACTTGACTGCATATATAAGATAGATAATTTTGAAGATGGAATAATTTAAACAGATTCTTAGATTTTGAAATATACATTATAAACTGAAAATATATGCTATTTGGAGGAACATTTGAAAATTCAATAGCACAGATATTGTATGACAATATTCACATCTATGCAAATGATATTCCAAACTACTTGCCTTGTAGAAATAGAACTGAGAATAGGTGAAGACTAACCACAACAACCACTTTGGAACCACAACTGTCATATTTTGGTATGAAGAATTCATGAGGTCCTCTGGTGTAAATCTTGTAGTGGTTTGCACAGACCTGAGAACAGAAAAGAGATCATCTTCTTAAGAAAAGAAATGACCTCCTCAAATACACACTAAAAACAATGAAATGCAAACATCCAAAAGAAAATAATAAACAACATGAAAAGGAGGAGAAGATAATGACTAGCTCTGAACTACTTGATTGACTAAGGATGCTGGTTTCCCAATGTTTCATCCCCTCTCTGTTTTATCATTTTTTTTCTTACATAGTTGAAGATAATGGATATGGCATGATTGTCAAGCCTCATGTCATTTTTACTATCTGCATTCAGCCTTTGAGGCTCGCAAGTAGACCAATAATAGGACAAGAGATTGAGTTCTTTAAAAAGTAATTACAGCCTTTTTCTTTTTAATCTGCTTTATTATGCTTATATTTAAACCTTCTCTGAATGGAGGCTTGCATTAACAACGCCGACTCTGCTGTTTCATTAGGGCTTAATGTGCTGTGCATTAGGGCGTTTGCATCATCTTTATGGGGGAGCTTTTAGCTTTCAGATCAGGTTATAAAATTAGGAGTCCTGTCAAGTTGTGCTTCCCACGGGAAAGTGTTTACACTATCCTGAGCTGATAAAAGCTCAAGATGCACACAAACCTTTCCATATTAGCAGATCTTTTCAGTTGTTCTACATTATTCAGGACTCCAGGAAAGGAGCTACTGGATTCCATCTGGGAGCTTCATTTTGACCTTTAGTGAAATCTTAAGTTTACGGGAAGGACCCCTTTGTTAAGTTATCACAGTTGTACAATTTGTAATGTTAGAAACAGGAAGAACATATTTTAGTGATAGGAAACTATCCATTGTTTTTTAGACTTTGAACACATTTAACTATAGGAATGCTATATGTCCTTAACATATAGTGTATTCAGTTAAACATGGGAATTGCAGTTTTGATTAAAATATTAGAACAAAAAAACCCCAGACAAACAAAAGCAAAACACCTGTGAACATTAATCTCATTGTGGTTTATTTTGCCTTATCTTGGATTTTACTTCCAAATATTTATTTTTTTGCCTTGCAGTTTCCTTTGATCTGGAGTATAAGGGAAGTTGTAGATCTTAGCAGGTTCTGTTTCTTTGTTTTCCAAGTTAAGAACTATTTCATTTTAGAAAAACTGGTGAATGAGACTTTAATCAATTCAGACTGTCTATAGAATACAGAATGTTTGGCATATGAATCCAGAATTATTTTCAGGGCTGTATCTCTTTAACAAGTAATAAAGTGTGCAAAATAAAACATATGCTCACCCCAAGGCCATAAAGCAAAGCAAAATTCTGGCATTTACCAGGTTATTTTCATCAGTGGAGATGGCTAAGCTGGATAATGTAAAGGCCCCCCCCACCCCAGGAGGAGAAGTTTGACCATCCTAACTAATCCATTTACCTGCATGGCAGTTAAATCTCCATTTGGCTGAGAGTGGAATGATAAATGTCCATCCCTCTTTGATATTTGGTTTGTTTGTTATCATTTAAAGAATGTGTGTCATTTTCTAAAATATCAGTGTTTCTCTCAAGGCAGAATGTTTAGAATAAAAACCATAATTATCAGTGCATCCAATCAAATTTAGACTCATTCAACTCTTAATAAAAGTTTTATCTTTCCAATGGCCTGCTCTGCTAAGTGTATCAAGCCTGCAGATTATTGAGTGCTTTTCATTCTTTGGGTCACTGTAATTACAGCAAACTTGCAGCTGTTGAAAGCACAGATATACAGTGAGTGCCCCATTGCAAGAAAGTTTCGAGAGAAAGAGCAATATCATTTAATTTTCTGATTTTCTTTGTTCCGAGGATCATTCAACCAAACATGTATTGACTTCTTATTAATCCCGTGACTTCACATCTTAACAAATATTTATGAATTTTCAGGCCCTGTAACTTGTTGGGTTTTTATTGAACAGCTAATGCAGCATGTATGTTTTCAGCATTTTTAAGGTGATCTAGTGATCTTTCATCATCTTTAAGTTTACATAACAAATATTG